ATAGACATACCCCTGAAATCCTACCCAGTTTCGAGAAAAAAAATTCAATGAGAGAAATTTTTCAGCGAAAAAAAAATTTTTTCAAATCATTCTGAAAAAATTATTTTCGATTGCAGGGTTCAATTACAATAATTTTTGGTTAATAGACATACCCTCGAAATCCTACCCAGTTTCGAGAAAAAAATTCAATGGGAGAAATTTTTCAGCAAAAAAAAATTTTTTCAAATCATTCTGAAAAAATTATTTTCGATTGCAGGGCTCAATTAAAATTATTTTTGGTCAATAGACATACCCTCGAAATCCTAACCATTTTCGAGAAAAAAATTCAGTACGGGCGGAACTTTAAAGGTTAATAACTTTTTAACAAAGCCTCCATCAACAAATTGGTATTCTTGATTTTCGTTTTATTTTGGCCTGTAGAATCCTTCATTAAAATTTTTCCCAGGGTTGGTCGAACACCCTGTATGGGGTGTCCCGCGTAACTGAGAAAAGATGTATGTATCTCTAAAACGGGTAGAGATATCAATTTTCACGTGAATAACGTTGTGCATCATCGTCGAATGTACAAGCAACGGGAGAGTAGATATATTTATTTTGTTTGCTATTTTGACACATTAAACGCCATTTTGGTACCTCGGGGAGTATCAAATTAAACAAAAATAACACAAATTTTGCTCCAGAACCTCGTGACTTTGTATTTCCGGCTCGACACTAAAACAGTAGTCCGTACGTAACTTAAACTTGACCAGCATCCCCGCGATTGATCGAAAACGTTAAAATTTAATGGAAACGGCCGAAATCGTGTTCCTAAATCGTCTCCGTAACGTACGTTTATAGCCATACGTGGTTTCCATCTCAATGAATCCGGGGCCAGATTCCCAGGCTGAATGAAACTTTTATTTACGACCTTATTAACGATATCGATACGAATCGAATGACGTACACGGAGCGTACGTAAGTCGCGAGACAGAAGAACAATTGGGTCGCAAGTGTCGCGTCTCAGCGTCGCCCGAAAGTGTTTCGATATTTTTCTAAAGTATCGACCACGTGGCCGGGGGCCAAATTAATCTGGAAATGACCTACATAAAATTGCTGATTATGTCTCGTTACATCCTCAGCATCGTCTTTGCGAGCATTCTAGGCAACAACTCGATTTATCGGGCCGCAGATTCGACAATTTTGAGTTTGATCGTTAAAAGAAAATTCAATATCGGTTCCTCGGAGTCTCTGACACAACGTTTAACGTGTTGATCTTCGTGAAATCAGTTAAATGGGAATGCACGATAATTAGCTGAGAAATGTGGTAGGTCAGTGACGCAAGACGCACGATTTCTGCCCATTGTGTGCAAGATTTACGAGGGGGATAAGGTCGGAAGAGTATTAAAATTAATGTGTGTCTCCACCAGAACGCCAACATTGAACCCAACATCCGCGCCAATAAACCGTGCCATAGATCTCTTGCGGGAGTAAAGGTCCGTTTTAACGCGACGTAAAGTCACGACTTTTATCATCGTGAAAATTTAAATGTCTTCTTGTCACGACATACCAATCGTAGATGTCGTTTATTCTGTTATTTTCTATACGAATAATTTCTGTCGAAACGTTGAGAGCCACTAAAATCGCGTGTCTTGCTTATCAATTTGCATTATAAGAGATTTTTTTAATGTCACGTAAAAACAGACTCTTGCTCCTGTATTACTTCGACATAGTTCGTTGAATCACTTTCGTATCGCGCTGGAGCTTTTGTCCTACAACCTTTTTACTTTTCGCTTCTGAAAGGTCTTTGAAAAAAAATATCTACATTGTTTCCCAATAAGAGCGACGGGAACTTTGAATCGAAATAAAATGGAAGCTGCAAAAGCTACTCCTCTGGCGTACGATGTTTTATTTTAACGTATGTACACTCGAGTGATCGAAAAAAATAATGGACTACTGCATGCTGTGTCGAATCGATGAAATAAATAAAAATTTAACATCCTCTGTCCACTAGAATTTTCATGAATATCGTCTTTAAAAACAGCGTTCGTGAAGCGAAAACAAGCTTGGAATACACAGTCACGTAATCAGCGAGTATAAATCAAAGTAATGTCCGTTAATGTAGGCAGTAATCATTTTGTATTGCCGACGCTGGAAATAGCTACGTGTCGCGTATATGGGTATTGAAAGGCAATCAACGACGCGCAGAAGATGAACGATTATCAAACGATTGAGCAAGATTTTCCTTAGATTTTCATCGAGACTTCGTTCCCAGTCTCGCATTATCTGCACTTTCACCGGTTACGTTTAACGACTCATAACTGCAACGTTTACGTAAATCCAACCGGAGCCTGTACAAATTGTTCAATGGAAAACAGTTTTGCTCGAAAGTTACGACTTTCCTCGTTGCAATTCCGGTAACCTATTTTCTCTTACGAATCCAGTCGGCATTTGCACGGACCAGGAAATTGGTCTTATGTCATACAAATTGAAACGAAAGTGAACTTTTTTTTTACAATTGATCGACCGTGTACAAAATTGAAATGACTTTTGAGCGTCGAAATATTCTATTGTAAAACGCGTAGTTTTGGGTCTTTCTATGGTCGATTTTTCCGTGGAACGTTTTGGTTCGAACGTTACACAATGGCACTAGCTATTTGCACCGACGATTTCCGAGTATCAAGACACAAACTATTGCCTCGGATATCCGGTGTTACCCAGAATTCACGAGATGGACGTGCAATACATTTAACTGAGTGTAACCCATTTCCACAAGAATCTACTTGACATACAATCTTTTACAAGTTTCAAGCTTCATTTTCAGCTGTGTAGCACGTTGCAATCATATACACGGTGCAGAAGTATACAAATTGCCATTTTTAACAAAGTTAACCGAGATTTTCTAAAAATCGTTGAAAATTTATTTTATGTTTTTTATTTAATGATTTTATTCTCAAAGTGGAAAGGAAAGCAAAATGTACTTGGAAAAACTATACGAGACTGTTTCGCGACAACCTGAGCAATAGGTTTCGTGTTAGCGCTGAAAATAAACTATAAAGCGAGTATAAAGGCTTGAAACCAGAAACTTTCAAGTATTTATTTCGAATGTTCCGTAGTACAGCAATATTCGAAAAAATTTAATGGGAGATTCTAGGGACCACAATAAGACGAAAATCAAGAATATCAATTTTTTGATTGAGGCTTCGTTGAAAAATTATTAAAAAATTAAATTAAAAAATTTCAAATCATTCACGGAAAAATTATTTTTGGTTTCGGGGGTCAATTACAATCATTTTTGGTCATTAGACATACCCTCGAAATCCTATCCACTTCCGAGAAAAAAATTCGAGAATGTGGGAAATTTTTCGACGAAATTAAGAAATTTCAAATTGTTCTGGAAAAATTATTTCTGTTTGTAGTGGTCAATTACAATTATTTTTGGTCAATAAACATACCCCCTAAATCCTACCCAGTTTCGAGAAAAAAATTCAATTGATGGAGAAATTTTTCAGGGAAAAAAATTTTTTTCAAATCATTCAGGAAAAATTATTTTCGATTGCAGGGGTCAATTACAATTATTTTTGGTCAATAAACATACCTCCTAAATCCTACCCAGTTTCGAGAAAAAAATTCAATTGATGGAGAAATTTTTCAGGGAAAAAAATTTTTTTCAAATCATTCTGGAAAAATTATTTTCGATTGCAGGGGTCAATTATAATCATTTTTGGTTAATAGACATATCCCCTAATTCCTACTCAGTTTCGAGAAAAAAATTCAATTGATGGAGAAATTTTTCAGGGAAAAAAATTTTTTTCAAATCATTCTGGAAAAATTATTTTCGATTGCAGGGGTCAATTATAATCATTTTTGGTTAATAGACATACCCTCGAAATCCTAACCATTTTCGAGAAAAAAATTCCTTACCACAAAATATAATTTCAGGGCAGAAATGTTTCCCCGAAATTTCATGCGAAACGTCATAACTTTTGAAAGGATTGAAGGATTTGTATGTTTCAAAGCGCAAATAACGCGTATTTTGGTAAAGAATATGTAGAAATTCTATCAATATTGACAAAGTTGTTTCTTGACCCCGTAAAGTGAGAAAAACCCCATAAAAATGATCCAATTTTCAAACGTTCGTAACTCCTACAATAGTGAATATATTTCAATGAAACTTTTTTCTAAGATAGAGCTTATGGGTACCTACAGAAAAGTATTAGACAACTTTTTTATAGGGCGTTAAACAAATCTACAAAAAATGGAAAACGAATTTTTAAGAAATATCGACAGGGGGAATTTTTCAATGAAAAAAAAAATTTTAAATCGTTCTGAAAAAAATATTTTCGCCCGCGGGAGTCAATTACAGTCATTTTTGGTCAATAGACATACCCTCGAATTCCTATCCGTTTTCGAGAAAAAGAATTCCTTACCGAAAATCTAATCTCAGGCAAGAAATGTTTCCCCGAAATTTTATGCGTATGTTTAAGAAATCATAACTTCTGGACGGATTGAAGGATTTTAATGATTCCAAATTCAAACAATGCGTCTCATTTTGGCCTCTAGAATCTCCGATTAAAATTTTTCCCACGGGTGGGACTTTTAACAGGGTCGAACACTCTGTATATGGCTGACTGAAATTCTGAAAACGAAACTGCGCAAATTCTCGAGTCGATGGAACTAAATTTTGAACAAGATCCACGAATTTCATCGAGTTCCACGAACATAAGTACCAAGGCAAATTTCGTGTTACTGTAGTTTACAATTACTTTGGCGGTGGACGTGTTGAAAGGAAAACAAAAGAGACGATTCGGTCTGCATAATCGGACGCGTTCCGAGAGGGATACTGCGGAGAAATCTCCGCAAGGGATTTGGTGCAGCGACTGCGGCACCGGGGTTCTAAAGATTAAACACGCCCGTTGCATTACGTGTCACGTAATCGTCGAGAGATCCTCGAGTAGCAACGAACCGTCCGTGGCATCCGTGGCGACTTCCACTTTCACACGTGTCTTTTAATACTGTTCCAGCTTGCCCTAGCGAGCAACGAAAGCTCCTTGTCTTGCTCAATCCGAAGTCGGGACCCGGAAGGGGCCGCGAAACGTTCCAGAAGAGGATCCATCCGATTCTGTCGGAAGCGGAGAGGCCTTACGAGGTGCACATCACCAAGTGTCCCAATTACGCTCGCGAGTTCGTGCGTACGAGGGACATTTATCAATGGAGCGGGCTGCTGATGGTCGGGGGCGACGGTATCGTGTTCGAGGTAGTGAATGGCCTTTTTCAAAGGCCCGATTGGGAAAAGGCCCTCAGGGAATTGCCCCTCGGCGTGATACCGTGCGGCTCCGGGAACGGGTTGGCGAAATCCATCGCGTACGCCAAACAGTAAGTTCTTCCTTTTATGGTTCAATCGAAATCAATGATTTATACCGCGTCTTGGCTCACGGTAGCCCCGAGGAAGTCGTTACTTTACTCTTTAACTCTCCTGTTCAACTTATCCGCGCTCGAATTCGCGATCGTAAAACTCGAACAACCAGCCTCGCGGTTTGCATTATTTAATTCGCGTTCACTGCCACGCCAGAAACCCTCAAATTGGTCGCGAAAAACGATATTTTCAGTGAATCGGCGTTGTTTTCACAGCCTCGTTAAAATTCGAGAGTATCTAGATTTCTTTTCTTTTTTTTAACTCGCCCATACGTGGATGGCAGTCAATATGTTAAGGAATTATTTACTTGCTTCTTTTGTGAGGAGTGAGTATAGTAAAATTCAAGAGCATCTAGATTTCTTTTCTTTGACACCGGATCTTGGGGAATTAATTTTTTTAACTCGTTCATACTTGGATGGCAGTCAATGTGTTAAAGAATTTACTTGCTTCTTTTGTGAGGAGTGTGTATATCATTTGCAGTATGAATTTATATTCTTTAGGTTACGAGTGATTTCTCTTTTTATTTTGTTGAGAATATAATCTATTACGCGTGTAAAGGAATTTGTATTAACAAAGTCTCGAATTCCGAGTAGAAAAAGACAGTTGCGTTAAGGAATTTACTTGCTTCTTTTGCGAGGGGTGTATGTGTATACAGGGTGTTCCAACCCTGGGAAAAATTTTAATGAGGGATTCTAGAGGCCAAAATAAGACGAAAATCAAGAATACAAATTTGTTGATGGAGGCTGCGTTAAAATGTTATTAACAATTAAATTCAAAAATTTCAAATCATTCTGGAAAAATTATTTTCGGTTGCGGGGGTCAATTACAATCATTTTTGGTGAATACACATATCTCCAAAATCCTATCTACTTCCGAGAAAAAAAATCGGATAGGTGCTGAAATTTTTCGGCGAAAAAAAAATTGTTCGAATCGTACTAAAAAAATTATTTTCGGTTGCGGGGGTCAATTACAATCATTTTTAGTCGTTACACATACCCCCGAAATCCTACACACTTTCGAGAAAAAAATTCCTTACCGAAAATCTAATTAAATCTAATATCAACGAAAAAAAAAAATTTCAAATCGTTCTGGAAAAATTGTTTTCGGTTGCGGGGATCAATTACAATCATTTTTGGTGAATATACATACCCTCGAAATCCTACCTGCTTTCTAGAAAAAAATTTGAGAATGTGTGAAATTTTTCGACGGAAAAAAAAAATTGCAGATCGTTCTGGAAAAATTATTTTTGGTTCCGGCTGTCAATTACAATCATTTTTGGTGAATAGACATACCACCAAAATTCTGCGCATTTTCGAGAAAAAAATTCCTTACTGAAAATCTAATTAAATCTAATTTCAACGAAAAAAAAAAATTTCAAATCGGTCTGGAAAAATTATTTTCGGTTGCGGGGGTCAATTACAATCATTTTTGGTGAATAGACATACCACCAAAATTCTGCGCATTTTCGAGAAAAAAATTCAGCACGGGCGGAACTTTAAAAGTTAATAACATTTTAACAAAGCCTCCATTAACAAATTGGTATTCTTGATTTTCATCTTATTTTGGCCTCTAGAATCCCCCATTAAAATTTTTCCCATGGAAACCCTTTGCATTATGAATTTATATTCTTTGTGCTACGAGTGATTTCTCTTTTTAATATAATCTATTAGCTATCGACGAAATACGCGTGTGAAGGAATTTGTGTTAACAAAGTCTCGAATTCCGAGTAGAAAAAGACAGCTGCGTTCGAAAATATTGACCCCCCGTTTGTGTCAAAGTCTAAAGAATATTGGTTCGTTGTGCCGAATACCATTGCAGTGCAAAAGGTTAATTACTCAAATGCGCGCGACAAAACATCGTTTAAGACTCATCGATATTGTCAATTCATCATATAGATTGGTATAAATTTCGTGATTGGCAACTCGTTGCGATCTACACGCGTGGCTTCGTTCCAAATCATTCGTTCGTCGCTTGTTTCAATTTTACACGACGGGTAACGTTACGATGTGGTCTGGAATCAAATCTGAAGAACGATTACATCCAATGAATTAAACACAGTTATCCAGTGAAATATCGATTGTCAAAACAGCGTCGAATCTAATATTTAATTATCTAAACAGCATTTCCTTTGTGAATTTTGTACCTATACGTAATTATACGACAATGGTGAAATGTACTCGATACTTTCTCACAATGCTATATGTTTTGGAAATTTAAACAATGATCTAAGAAAATAGTCGGGAATAACGTGATTAATCAGATGTATGGCGGTGAGATCATCGATTAAATTACTAGAAGTTGTAATGAAAATGTGGAAGACGATGTCGAAGGAAATAATTCACATATTTTTACATATTTCCAAAAATTCGTATTCCATCTTCTATTTCCATCTTTTTTTTTTTTTAATAATGTTCTATAATTCACGGTCTTCCTGCTAACGATAATGTAATTACTCGATTATCCGAGTGTCCTCCAATTATCCCGGATGTTCTAGCGCACACGCAAAATAGTATTCGCGTAAGCATTCGACAGCACTTAAATTTCATCGTAGACCCACGATACGTCGTATAACTGCACGCGTTGTAAATTTTCCAGTCAACAAACTCACAGTTTGTCGGCGACTAGTTCAACAACAGTGTGTCCGCGCCGTCATTTCATATTCCTAACGAGTTACCGCTAACTCGGTCGACCGCCACAAACAGACGATAAATCCACCCAATCGACCTAATAGCAAAGCTGTCCGATTAGTCGAAATTCGAGCCAAGCCAAGCTCGCTTTATCGACATCGACGCCGAGCACTCTCGATCGTTCGAGTTAATATTTCGAGTAACTTGATTGTTCGTCCCATTTCTTTAACTCTTTTTATCTGAAATCGTTAGTACGTTATTTCCACCTGAACTGTTCGAATGCTTCAACCGTTTCTAGCAAAACTATTCACGTAAAGAATTACATTACTCGAGACTTTGTTACTTTCATTTTTTTAATATAAATTCGTTCGTGTTTTTAAGGAATTTCGAAACTATTGAAACTATTTATTTTTTTTACGATGTAACTTAAAAATAAAAAATACAGAATGGAATATTGTAATATGGGATAGATAATATTGAGTCGAGCATGTATAAAATATATTAATTTACTTTACATTTATTCGTAAATATAAAGTGCTGTTATTTCTTTTTTTTTTTATCATATTTTATACGTACATTGTAAATGTTCGATATCGACGCAAGTTAAATTATTCGTGATTACGTGTGTACGTTTGTGTAAATATAGCGGTAGGAGACAACAGGAAGGCTCATAATTCCATCTCCTATCCACTCCTAATATTCCTCATCACCATTAATTTGTCGATGAAGGCGTAACAAGCACGCACATGAGCATGGGTACGCGCTGTAAAAATCAAAGCATCGAACAACGCTAAAAAACACTCGTACATTTCCATGCACTTCGACAGCATTATGCAATTATTTCAAACAACAATCACGTTTACGTTAAAAAATCGATTTCAGTTCGTAACGTCACGTTACAGAAATAAAAAAAGATTACTACTATAATATATTTATATACATACAATCTTTTACGCAGAATATTTACAAATAGATATCAGAAACTTTAGGGAGTAATTCTGCAGCTGTGACGATTATTGGAACAACAATTAACGCGTTAAGAAGTATAATAAATTATAAATCGATGTTTTATAATTTATCGCGAAAAATTTTTATTATTCGTTCGGTCTGTTCATCGTAACATATCGAACCGGTATTATCGTTTTCTGCGAGAAGATGTTTTCGATTAGTCGGCTTCAAATTGCTGTGAAACTTCCGCGCTCGTAATCGTATTCACAAGCATCCATTACTCATGTACATTCAAGGAATCATATGTATTTTCCGCTTGTTGGCTGCCTTCCGTTCATTTCATAAAGTCACGAAAAATTTCGCCGTTTTAAAAAGTTTCGCAATAAAAATAGCAGCCCCATAAAATATACACGACCACCCCGAAAAAGAGTATAGTTTTTAGCCCGATACTTTCTCGAGGCTGTGCATAAAACGTGCATCGATGTTGCATTTTGTTTCACGAGATTATGTAACGGTATTTACACCACAATTTTACTTATCGAAAGATTATTTATTTATTCGTTATTATTAGCGCTGATAAACGATTTGATTCAACCTGACGACTCTCGATGTTTTCCCGACCAGCCTTAAAATTGTTCGTATCAGTCATAGACTTGCGTACGAGATAATAAATTATCACAATAAGCCGTGTATTTTTAAGACAAAACTTGATGTTAGCTTTCTGTTCGAGGCTTAAATTTTCAAACTGCGAGAAAATACTGCTCTCATTTTTAGTGCCGTTATTTGGCTTCTAATGATCTGTACGTCATAAAATTTGGACAGCTATAATTCTTGTTTAAATGGAAGATAAACAGCCATATATCCGTTCCTCGTTTAACGAAAATTCAAGTTAAATTATAGAATAAAATTGAATTTCTCAACGAGTAGATAACGAATGAATAATTATGCTATTAATATGTTCTGCAATATAAGGTTGCCATTTTTTACTATCACAAGCGTTGAAAGTCTTCTTACTCGAACATTTGTTTATGTTTCGACAGTCGCTATAGCATATCTTATCTTGCAAATACGAGTGTATTAAATTTAGATAAATAACAAAAACAATTACCCTTTCAATATTGTTTGGAATATTATATAAGTACATCTTGATTTCGAGTGTAATTTATCATATCAAACAAGTTTATCGCGATATTGAATGGAGCAAAACAATCCTAAGCTTAATTACCTATAATCTCCACAAAGGCATTAAAATCAAGTACGTGTGCAATAATTTGTACACACTATGTAAATAGAATACACGTGAGTAGACAGAACGAACGTGAAAGGGAAAAATGAATCAACGTATCTAACATGCTCTATGTAGTTAAAAAAATTTCATTATTTTCTAAGTTTTTCGTGTGATTTTGTGTCACACTATTTGCTCCGTTCAGTGGGTATCAGAGGACAAATAAAGATTTAGAGATCGAATATTTCACTTCCGTAGAAATTGTTTATATTTGTAAAGAATTTTCTAGCCGGATCGAGGGCGATAAAATGGGGTAGGATTTAGGAAATTGTGTTTCGAAGCGTGGTACAGATTCGATGATGCAGGGGCGTAGGATGACACAGTGTTTGGATAACATCGCAGGAGGTTTGGGAATGCAAATACCTGCCTCGAGGAATAAATATATGTCAGCGTAACCCCCGAAGGGGATGCAGCATTTTGATCCTCAAGAGCTGTTCCCACAAAATGCTAAACTCCGTGACAAATTTTACAAAATTGTAACACCAGCTAGGTTTAAACTTTGACCAATCGATCCATTCATTATTTTATCGCAACGCACAACACGAAGTAGCACGAGTATACTTTTTTACAGAACTGAGCAAAATACGATCAGAGTACTATCTAATTACCGTGTAAAAACTATCTAATTATTGCGGGTAATGCAACACAATTACACGTAATTTTTTTTTGCCAAATTCCGGCGTCTGTGAACTTTAACACGAACCGATCCGTCCTCTCTAGCGTTTCGTGTGCTACTGGTTTCTGGAATGCGTGTTGCCCGTTCATTTCGCGATCGGTGATCAGCTACCTGCTAATGAGGGTACATGCCCCTGTTTGATGACTTTGAAAACGATAATACTCGGAACGGTCGTTGATCCCGACCGTGCGCCACGAAAGTATTCCAACGTTTGCTATTCAAACTTCGAGCGATAAAAACATGCACGATAGATTCGAGCACCAAGATTATACGGTGGACAAGATTTGTATACAGGGTGTTCGGTCAACCCTGGGAAAAATTTTAATGAGGGATTCTAGAGGCCAAAATAAGACGAAAATCAAGAATACAAATTTGTGGATGGAGGCTTCGTTACAAAGTTATTAACAATTAAATTAAAAAATTTTAAATCATTCTGGAAAAATTATTTTCAGTTGCGGGGGTCAATTACAATCATTTTTGGTGAATACACATATCTCCAAAATCCTATCCACTTTCCAGAAAAAAAATCGGATAGGTGCTGAGATTTTTCACAAAAAAAAAAATTTCAAATCGTTCTGGAAAAATTATTTTCGGTTGCGGAGGGCAAATACAATCATTTTTAGTAATTACACATACCCCCGAAATCCTACGCACTTTCGAGAAAAAAATTCCTTACCGAAAATCTAATTAAATCTAATTTCAACGAAGAAAAAAATTTCATATCGTTCTGGAAAAATTATTTTCGGTTGCGGGGATCAATTACAATCATTTTTGGTGAATAGACATACCCCCGAAATTCTACCCGCTTTCTAGAAAAAAATTTGAGAATGTGTGAAATTTTTCGACGGAAAAAAAAAATTGCAGATCATTTTGGAAAAATTATTTTCAGTTGCGAGGGTCAATTACAATCATTTTTGGTGAATAGACATACCCCCAAAATCCTTCACATTTTCGAGAAAAAAATTCAGTACGGATGGAACTTTAAACGTTAATAACATTTTAACAAAGCCTCCATTAACAAATTGGTATTCTTGATTTTCATCTTATTTTGGCCTCTAGAATTCCCCATTAAAATTTTTCCCAGGGATGGCCGAACACCCTGTATAAGAACACCTTTTTATGTCGAGAGATTCGATAAATTCAAGTCTTATTTCTGCAAATTCTTGGCAATTTAACACTAGAACTACCGACAATTACAATGTGTTTATTTGTACCGAAGAAATTGAAACGATAGATACGCGAAGAAATATACAATGCAATGGAAATAAGTGTTTATATATTTTCTTATAGAAAATTACGATAAATTTTCAAAAATTCAGTCGAATAAATTTTTCATAAGTTTTATTAGAAATTATAAATGGGTCGTTTTGACTGGTTTGGTAGTTCTAGCGTTAAAAAATGAAGAGAAGTTAACTGGAAACTTTACAGTACGGCCACTTGGTCTCTACGACTCGAATTTATATAAATTGATCGCTATAACTAGAAACGGTTCGTGGAATTTTAATTGTTCGCACATTAATCTACTATAATTTGTTTCTTCTTTATATAACGTTACATCATACTGTAACTCGTTTCCTTGATTCTTGTTGTAACGCTCAATCTCTCATCGTGTTACTGTCGAAATGAGTTCTGGTAAGAAAGAAGACAGATACTGCTTTAAAGTTCTACTAAGAAACAAAGTATTCGACAATTTTTAAATTAAAAAATCAAAAACTATTATTCTTGGTATCATTAAAATATAAACAGTACTGATCTATAAGTCTATTTAAAAGTGTCTCAAAGCACATAATTGATTCTGGGTTTGAAACTTCAAAATAAGAGCAGAGACTAATTACAAACGATTAACACGATCGTACTCCTAGAATTAACATTCTGGAGACGTGGTGCGATAAAAACCATGCCTTCTGATCGTTAATTAATTAAGAAATAGCTAACCTACATCAGGCTGCAGCGCTTAATGAACTCCCGTGGGAATCGGCTGGACAAGATCGCAAATTTTATAACGAAACGATCTTGAACATACGTGTCAACGTCTAATTTATTTTGTCTGTCTGTAAAAAATATGACATTCTATCTCAAAAAGTTAAAATTGAAATTTCTTTATTTCACCATCTAGAAATCAATTGTTTGTATCGCACAATTATTCGAAATAATCAGAATAGATAATCAGAATTCATCGAAATAATTAGAATAGGTTTACCATGGCCTCCAAAATTTAAAAATTCTTCTTTGAGGATGAAATGGCCCCACAAATTTTCTTTCTAATTTTTATAATATTTAAAAGGTGTTTAACGCTAGATTTACAGAAACCGTCAATTTGATATTGATTATTTAAAATTGCAGAACGTGTAAATATTATTTTTTAACAACTTAACACTGACATGAATACATATTCTAATTAAAAGAAAAATCGTATTGTGAGGTAATCGTCAACATGAAAGGTATCGATAAATATACTAAATCTAAATATACTAAATATAGATATAGTAAATCTAGTGTCAAGTATTACAGAGACCAACGAATTGTTGTTTCAGGGAGCCGTACGATTACAACCCCCTTCTGGTCAGCGCCCTGTCCGTGGTGAAGTCCAAGAAAGCGCAAATGGACTTGGTGCGCGTCGAGACCAGGAACCAAATTCTATTTTCGTTTCTGTCTGTTGGCTGGGGGCTGCTCGCTGACATTGATATTGAAAGCGAACGTTTGCGTGCCATCGGTGGCCAAAGGTTCACCGTGTGGAGCGTCGCGCGTCTCATAGGGTTAAGAACATACAAAGGCAAAGTGTCGTATCTGCCATGCGATAGAGTACCGTCCGTTGAAAATTTAGGCAATGGCAAGACCTATAACGAATACACCAAGGAGACACAAATATCGCACTCCAGGAGCTACGGGGACGACTTGGATCGGTAAATTCTGCGTTACCGCGAGTACCGTGCCGTGCAAAAGTTTCCAACAATTGTATTTCCGGTCGGTGAAAAGAGAGAATCTACTTAAATTCTATGCAATTCAAAATTCATTTTAGTTTACCCTATCTGAAGCAAATCTAGAAATGCAATTGCCCGAAATTGTCTGCACTTCACTATAGCTACAAAGAATACATTTTTTTGTTAATTATTGCATGTGTAAAGACTGTAGAAAAGCGATGATCATCTATCGTTTCCATCTTAAACGAGAAAAAATTATATTATAGCTATAAATAATGTTTAACGAGAAACGTGAAGTGATAGTAAGCGGAGCTAAACGCATGAAGATAACGTATATACTTTAGCAAATGGAACTTATCTAAAACTACACTCAATGGAAGGCCATCCACGTTTATGCAGGCTTTACACATTACACATTTTTTTACCTATTTAATAATGTATTTATAGATCTATGTTTACATAACCTCTTCGTTTCACGTTTAATCGCAACACGTGTTTTAAAAAAAAAGTAATCGCTAGATACAAACATTTTGCTATCAGAACGTAGACAAAACGCTTGTAATTACAGGTTATTTAAAAACAAGCGCTATGGAATTACGCGTAATTATAGTTGCACTTTCTGTTTAGGTGTAGCAAGATTAGCGAATCGAAAAGTTTCCACGACGCACTCGACGGGGACGCTGCCATTTTGGATGCATCTTTCGATGGCTGTGAAGATAGCGAAATCATAAGTGAAAGTATTACTCTAGAAACAGAAACAGAGAGAAGACACAGGCTAGATAGCTTTTATTCAGCGACCTCCGCGAGGTCGACTTACTATAGTACGGGTTCAATTTCTAGTTACCATAGCGTTGACGAGCCCGATAACGGGGAAGTTGGTAAGTTTCTGGCTTACGTGGTAAAAATTTTTTATCTCGATGAACTGATTCAGTTCTTTTCATAGATTCGATTCAACGTTACAAACAAACGTTAATTACTGGCGTTATGACTTATCTGTTTTATATCATTGTTTACATAACTTCTGTGTATGGCTAATAAGTAGTAATTACCGACACGCTGTTGTTGACCTTGGTTTCAATTCATCGGGATAGCGAAACTAGAGCATATTATCCATTAGACGCCAAAATTTATTTTGCTAAATATATTTTCATTGGTAAACTCGTGTCTTACACTTCATGCGTGTTTAAATATGCTTCTGCTTAATAAAACTATTGGATTTATTACTAGAACGTTAATTACTAATCGTAACAGTGAGATCAGAATGATTGAGGCGTAAAACTGAAGTTTTAAATAACGTTAAGATCATTACTATTTCTCATGCGCTTAAGATAATAATCCATATATAATTAAGATGCAGAAAACAACGTTAACCAAATTATGTACGGTCCGTCGTCGAGGTTGCCTGCTTTGACCACAGATTTATCAAGTTCCTGGACACAAATTCAGGGTAAGGAACAGATTATATAATAAACACTGCACGACTCAAAATAAGTAAAGAATCCACAACTCGAATGGTTTGAATTACATGTACAAAATACTATTCTAATAGAGGACGTGGCTCTCGCATGTATCTAATAGGTGATATATGGTCCGTACCATAAAAAGGTTTAGCCACTACTGACACGTGCGTTGCAATACAGGTGTTCAGAATGTTGACCTTGAGCGACGATGCATGCACATTGTTTGTCTCGCGAAATCTTGCACGATCAGGAAACCTTAAAGCATATAAATACCTCGCTTATCTGATACTTTGACGCCGTTCGTCATAAATGAAACCTACATCAACTATCTCCGAGGTTAAGGTTAACTTTAATTTTAGTTGTAAGCGACTGCTGGTTAGGGTTGCGGGAGAGTTAAGAAGGGGGAAAGGAGGGGAATAACTGGAGTAAGGAACAGGAGACAGGTGGAAGTAGGAAATAGAGGTTTTAAAAAGTAAATGATAAACGATGTTATTAAAAATATAGAATAGAGTAGAATAGAACTATCTCTGTCTCCGTACAACGTATTATAAAGGCCTGAATAATTTTGTAAATCCGTACTTCGAGCAGTATAGACCACCATTGAATATATCAGAATCTATACAGATAAACTGTACTAAATGTCTAAACTCGTTTTGACCTAAATGCTAATTTGTATTTTGCCACCTCGTCGAAGGACACATGTGTACTCTTATTTTGCGATAGATTATACTTGTCGGTACAATAAATCAACGGCTATTTATCAAGTATCTTCGAAATAAACATGGTTATATAATCTATGCGTATGAAATTAAAATTATGATTGTAAACATTTGAGAGAACCGGCAATAGCTACTGAAACGGCCGTTGTAATCACATAACGAATCACTTACTACAGGATAGATAAGAATGTCTTACACACACGCACACGCGTATATATAGGTGATCGAATAGAAAGAATGTCTTTATCGAGATCAATACTCCATAGGAACTAGAACTCTTGCGTCGCGATGATCACTTGGTACGAATGCTAACGAGACTGCTGTAGGAACAAGGAAGGGAAACAGGAGAAAAGATACCGTTAGGTGTATCACAGGGAAATAGAAGGGAGAGGGATTGGTAACTAGTGGGAGAAAACTCGTCTTATTCGTTGATTTCGACAGGTATTGAAGTGGGAAGGTTAAACAGCACAATCATGTAAACACGACAGGAGCTCGAAAAATGAAGGACACATTGCCTCTTTAATTCTTACCTATATCGAGTTGGACTTAACATAAAATTTGTTGACTGGTATTATATCTATCTTCTCTCAATATTAAGATTCTCTTCTAAACAAGTACATTGTACATATTCATGTATTAAGTTTATCTGTCCACGACAGTGGATGTGATATCACGGCTATATTTGTTTCATGCTAAAAACCGTGCAAACGACAAGGGCAAACAGTGTTGCAAGTAACTTTGCTTACCATGACCTGTATTTGAACATGATATACAGTCTGTAAGAAAAGTTAGAATACATTACACTTTCAATATTTTGATACTATATAATTTTAGATGCGTATAGTTAATTTTATAATATTTATTACACACGGAAAGTGCATTTTATAAAGATACTTTGAAAAATTATAGTTTACAAAATTTATCGTACGTTAATAGAAATAATATTTTAGTCTATAATTTGATATGTTTGCCCGATCTAAAAGATGAAACGAATATTGATATTTTGAATTTCAGGAGAGTTTGTGATGGTCCACGCGGCATATCAGTCACACTTGGGCCAGGATTATTTCTTCGCGCCTCGTGCCAAATTGGCGGATGGTCTTATTTGGCTCATAATAGTTAAAGCCGGAATCACTCGAGCCACTTTACTCCAGGTAAATAGCCCATTTAAAAACAATATTTCCGACTCTTGAATTTATTATCAACGAAAACGTGATGTTAAACGTATACAGGGTAATCGGCCAACCGTGGGAAAAAATTTTAATGGGAGATTCTAGAGGCCGAAATAAGACGAAAATCAAGAATATCAATTTGTTGATTGAAGCTTCGTTAAAAAATTACTAAAAACTTCCAAATCATTCTGAAAAAATTATTTTTGGTTGCGGAGCTCAGTTGCAATCATTTCTGGTGAATACACATACCCCTGAAATCCTACCCACTTTCGAGAAAAAAATTTGAGTAGATACTGAAATTTTTCGGCGAAAAAAAAAATTTCAAATCGTTCTAGAAAAATTATTTTCGGTCACGGGGGTCAATTACAATAATTTTTGGTGAATAGACCTACCCCTGAAATCCTACCCACTTTCGAGAAAAAAATTCGAGTAGATACTGACATTTTTCAGCGAAAAAAAAAATTTCAAATCGTTCTAGAAAAATTATTTTCGGTCACGGGGGTCAATTACAATAATTTTTGGTGAACAGACCTACCCCCGAAATCCTACCCATTTTCTAAAAAAAAATTCGGTACGTGCGGAACTTTTAACGTTACTAACTTTTTAACAAAGCCTCCATCAACAAATTAGTATTCTTGATTTTCGTCTTATTTTGGCCTCTAGAATCTCCCATTAAAATTTTTCCCATGGGTGGCCGAACACACTGTATAATTATTCCATAAAATTCTTTAAAAACAAAAAAAAAATAATATGTAATATTAGTGACGTAAATAATTTCATTATTGGCGTAGATACTGTAAAAAGTCCGAGTTATTATTTTTTACTCTTTATTGATTTGGTTTCAATAATACTATGCATATTATGACTGATAACGCTATATCGTTTAGCTAGATCACGTTAGAAGTAAAGAGATTTGTTGTAGCCATAATTACAGTATCTTAAAGATTATTTGTTGTGCCTGTTAGTTCCTGTTGGGTTTAAGTAGTGGTACACATCTGACACGTTCTGGCATCGACATGATACCCGTAAAGGCATTTCGAATAGAACCGGAGGAAGGCGTGAATGGTCACATAACTGTGGATGGAGAAAGAGTAGACTATGGACCCTTGCAAGCCGAGATATATCCGTCTTTAGCAACAGTAATGTCTCCCTGATACAAATGGCAGTCAACTTTGTAAAGAACTAGCAATGGAATCAAATGGTACAATCCTAGAAGTTCAATTATATGGTAGCAGCATGGTCCAGGCGACAATACTGTATTAATACATTAATGTACATTCGGTGTTGGTACTTTAGTCCAAAATCGTGATAGGTGTATATTTATAGACTGTGAAATTTTGAAAAATACCATTCCATACGATGTATTCGAGTATCTTTTATTTAACAAAGTCGAGAGCGTAACATAGTTTGTATAAACTCAATTGTTATTTCATAGAGTTTTAATATTTATATAATATTGTTCAATAGTGCTCGTTAACTAGTGATCTTCAATTACATTCGTTAGCCTAAGATGTACGTTTTGGACAGTTCCCTGTATAACGCACAATAGTCTAACTTTAAATATTCCACAGGCTTCGTGCTAGTTAGCAAGTACTATTGTTAAGCTTATAGCAAAGGCTCGAAATGTATATTTTCCTTCCTGTTATTTACCAAAAAGAAACCTTCGAATTTGTCAAGCCGATAATCAATTTTTTTATTCGTTTTCTGGTGCATTGTATTTCTAAAACAATTTTATAGCGTTAACATGTTGTCGCTTCCAATATCAGCACATCGCAAGGACTAAAATATATAAGCCGGAAACGTTTAACTTTGTACAAATATTCTGATTTTCTAGCTCGAATGCGTTTTATCGACCAGTGGATTGTATTTGTCGTGTACAACGTTAGAATTGTTGGCTCATGACGAAGTATAAATTGCTGGTTGTAAGGTAATTTATTAGTGAACCGCGTTGGTCTAGTCTTGGTGTTTTCTACAATATTCTGTACGCATTGATGCTCAAAGTAAACTGAAGATTGCTTGTTGGTACCCTGATAAACATGTCATGGAATGATGCCCTTATGATGCAGGGAGTGGTGGGCAATCGATAAAATGGACAAGTCCCTCTCATTGGTTGAAGCTATGACTAATCTCTGGTATTGACTTTTGATAAGGGTTCTCTTAGGCCCAAACACTTGGGCCTACTTTAAATCTTATATTGCGTTGCGATGCACAGTATTGTCACACTTGGTCCAACGTCAGCGATACAGTATTGATTTCACAGCAATGGCGCTCAAATTTTATACATTGGTCGAAACGCATTTAAGTTAGAGTTCACCAGCTTCTCGTCTTATGCTCATATTTGAAGTATTTTTTCAGAATACCGTGAACTACTTTATCTGACATAAGAACATATCACGTTTGTTAAAGTAGTATGCGAAACGTTAAAGATGTCACCTAATCGTAAGCGCATGGTTGTTACCTTGAAGAGAATTTGTAAATAAAAGAACGATTAAACACGAGAAACTGTTTGATATTGTATTACAGAAATATAGAGATAATATTATAGTAAGATAATTGCAAAGTTATCTTATATTGTTATTGAATTGCGCTTTCATATTGAGGGGAATAACTTGCGAAGTAAACTCGTCGGTGTTCTTTACCTTGACAGATACGTTTGACAAAGAGTCGATAAATTTTCGTTCAATATGTGCATATGTAATAATTATAATTTGTACAAATTAGATCGTTTATAGTTACGGCGTTGTAAATCTGTGCCAAGGGATATATGTAAAGATTATTATGTATTACTAAGATGATTTTCTAATTTTTATTTCATTCATGCCAAATCTTATATTTATACCTACCTTAAATATTTCAAGCACCGTCATATATGCTCGTATATTTTTTACATTTAAAAGATTATAGTTTTAACAAGTTACAGAAACCAATTACGTATATTTATGGTTTTAATTTGTATGCGATACATCATAAATCGAAGTGTTTTATACAAATCTATTTGTAAATAAATACTGGTTTTTTTTTTAAACACAAGAAAATTACAGTAATATCGTTAATAAGAATTGTATGGAAAAAAAATATTCGGCCAGCCCTATTTATTGTTCTCAAGCAATCACAGAAAGTGCAACTAATAAGTCTTCTTTGATACTCGTGAAGAAAGCCAAGTTGAATTATTCATAAGGAAATATTGTAAATTCAATCTGTATACGAGTTTATGTGATATGTATTTAATTTACGGCATTGTAAAAAATTAGAATTATTTAATTAAAAAAAATGTTTAATGGCACAACTTGTTTAAAAGATACTGTAGTGCCGCTTAATGTGAAACTTATTTATCATCCTTGGAATCCAAATGTACATACATATATATATCATAAACTTTTATTATTCTGCTATTTTCAGCAGAAATAACTGTTAATGTTTTTGAGAACAATTCTTTCGTTAATGTTGACTTTAATAAAACTTATTTAGAATGATACTGATTATAGATGATAATAAATTTGTTTACGTAAAGAGATTATTATTCCGTGATATTAGGGTGCCCTAGAAAATATTGCGCAATTTTAATCGCTTTATACATCCTGTTATTTTGAAACCGTCTATCAAAATAAATTATATGTATTAATATATTGTTGAAAAGCTCTTTTTGTGCTGATTACAAAAATATATATTCCATTTGTTAGCATTTTCATTGTTTGTTTTATTTGTTTTTAGAACAAATTTAATTTGCGATACTTATTATTGTATAATTTAGCCAGTCTATAGTCCTGACCATATTCCATATTTTTCTGCAATTTATTTTGAGTTAGGGTACAGTTTTTTAGCTAGAAGAATGGAGTTACATTCTGAACTATAGCAGGTAACTATACAGCAGTGATGTAAGTTGACGTCACAGCTATGTTAGCGCAAAAAGAGGTGCATGTTGGGAATTCCCATGTTTTGTACAAAATTGAACTTTCTACTTCAAATGCTCGCCAATCACACAAAAATTAACTTATCGAAGATCCCCTACGTATTTCTCTAGCTATACTCATGTAGATTAAGAGAAAACTTTTTGTTTTTGTCTCTTTCTCTGTAACTTCTATAAATTTTTTTCCTTATTGGGATCCAACGATACCTTAAATTCTAGTTAAGTGTATGCTCCAGTGCGCATGACCAAAATTACCACGAATGACCATCACTGCTATACAGTACTATATTAAAAGAATAAAAACTACAATTGTTTGTTTCATTAAAATAAAGTATAAATCGTGATGGTCGTAATAAATAATGTTTTTAATTCAAATGTTTCGACGTTGCATTTTAGATAAATAAATTTAAACTATTCTGTTAATAACCTAAAATGCAAGTTCAAAAACGTTTCGATTACAAACATACTGTATATCTTATGAAAATTATGACTCATTTTATATTGAAGTTAGTTTCAAAAATGCAAACGAAAGTTTCTGAACCAGTAATGAAATTGACAAATTTGTCATGCCTGGAGAAAAAGCAAAATTATTTTTGTCGAATTTCCACTTCTTATCTAACGAATAAAAAGTGTTAATAAATAGAAATTTATCAAGTCAACTTACTGTCGAGAACTCATAACTATCTTGATATTATAAAGAGAGACGAACTTCGATTATTTGTAACAAGATAATAACCAAATATTTAAAAGCTTGTTGAACAGTATAAATTTGTCAAAAAGACTTGATAATGGCAATATATTTGTTGCATTACTATATTTTAAATTATTATATGTTTTTTATGACTGTATTTTATTATACATTTCCAATTAGAATAGTTTATTGTATGTTACATATTATAAATAAACAACAGAGGTTTATAGAAAGAAATAGACGAACAAAAAAGATTAAGAAACACTGCCATATGATTTAATAAAGCAAAATTTTGAAAATCACAATATTTTCTGAGGTACCCTAAAATAAACTGGTTGTAAATTGCATTCATGTTAATTTTGTACCTGACAAATTGCTCAGAAAAATATAAATATTAAACTACCGTTGACATAACGAAAGATATTACCGTGTGTCTATATAAAAATAAATGAAAATAACAAAAAAAATTTGCGAGTTATTCGTAAGAATTGTTGCCTCTGTAACAACGTATACGTATGTGTTATATGCAAGTTCCTATGAAACAAAATATATTTTCTTTCAGATTATGCAATTACTGCTAACAGAGCAATACTTACGTAAAGAATGTATAAATTAATTACACGTAGTATTTACTGGTGTAATTAATTTGTTTTAATTAGGCGTCTTTAATGGGGTGCATTATCCATATATGTATAAACCATACGAGAATTAATGGATACAGTTATTAAACGTATGAAGGTATTAAAAATAACGCGTTCTTCAATTATGTAATTATCCAGCAAAAACTCGTAATTTATTTAATTGATCTTTCATTCTTAAGAGTGTACATCAAAACATTCAATCGATTCAAACTTATTTGCTTTAATATAATACATGCCCAACCACATTGGCTCATACATATTTAAAACGTTACGCGGGTTTACACGGTTTTGATACCTACGAAGCATAGAACAATAAAAAAAATTGTATCATTTACATATTTATGTTTAATTTCATTCGTTTAATTCCCTTTGATAATTAAATATTCCGCAAATAACTATGCAAATCTCTGGTAATGTCTGGTACTATATAGATTATACTTTCCTTCATTTTGAAATTATGTTTAACATACTGTACAGCAAATGACCAGTTTTACAAAGTAAACGCTGGCTGCTTAAACTTTATATTTCAATTAGGATTCGACACTCGGGCAGAATGAAAGGTACAATGCTCGTAAGTTATTTAATTGTTTATCGTTTATCATATAATATTGAAGTTGCACTTGTAAACAAAGCGAAAAAGAGTATATACGATAACGCAAAAATGATATCTAATAAAAAATTGTTTAATCATCAAAATAAACCTGCGTGCAATAAAATCTATATAAACTTTAATAGCAGTGTTAATATAAAATTTACTTCTACTACAGTTTCTAAGTTACTTTGTTCGATGGTAATAATCGCATTTTGAATCGAGGACTAAAAATATAAGCTCCATTTTTTTTCCTCGAATCTAGAGTGTTCGTATCGTTCGAAAGTGTGGAAAAAATACTGAAGAATCATCTTCGGTTTTAAAATTGTTCGCAAAAAATAACAGTATAAGGAAATAAGAAAAATTAAAATAATAAAATTGCAAATGTACAACATTGTAATAAAAATAGGGTAATTTAAACTGTTCACCTTTTTTCAAAACTTTCAGAATTTATAAAAATAATCGTAAGTAGCAATTTGCTGTTAAACGTATCCGTGGACTAACAAATTTATTTTTGTTTTTTTTTTTTTTATCATACTGCTTGTATAAAAGATGCCAGTTTAAATAAATCCATTTGCGATACTATTATTCCGTGCAGCATAATTTACGATCGTATTCTAAAATGACACATTACAGTTCGTTTAAATTCCAAAAAATTAAAGAAATTTTTAATCATGTATTATCTTGTCTTAAAAATTAAATTGTAAAGAACATATTCATAATGTTACTATGATTGGGATTCTTGTATTCGGCAGGATCTGTATTTTCTCTTATACCCAGTTAAGAACAATGACTGCCAAAACGATACAGAGAAAAAACGTTTTTTAGAGGCCGTACAAACTTCTAATTCTTTTTTATAAATGTACGTAGTATTTAAGGCTTGCTGTTATTCTAAAATTGAGCTGATTTCTTAACCCGTCGGGGTATTATCTTTAAACGTGTCTTTCAAAATTAAAGACGCCTAATTAAAATTATCTTGGACACTTGTGACAGGCCATACAAAGAAAAAGCAATATTTAAGTTCAGAAATAAAGAAAATATTTCCGAAAGTGATCCAAATCGAAATAATAAAGGCTATAAATGACTCCCGATGAAATTGAAGTTATTTCTCGATACCTCGACGTATCGATTATAACATACGCATAACTGACTTCCCTACGTTTCTAATATTTTGTACATTAAAACTTTTAACATCACTCCACGTGCAAATATAAGTTAAACAAAAATCTTCCTTGCAACGCATTAAATAACTAAAACAAAGAACTTATTAAAGTACAGTAAGGAATTCAATATATGCTGCTGAAATCTTCTTCAATTCCGTGTTCCGATTTAATTTGTCAATAAAACTGACAATCCGTTAACGTAAATGATTAACTCGTTATACTAAGGGCATCTAAATTGGCGAGCAAATCTTTTACGTCATCCTGAACCTGATCAGATGTGTTAGACAGGGATAAACGCGAATAAAAACTACTCAGGCATTCTACTTTTTCGTGGGCATCTTTCTGCTTTTGCAAATACGCTAACAACATATTAACTATGTTATGGATTTCCTCTTTGACCCTCAGCATATCCTCCCCCTTACAATTTTGTAATAATTTCAATTTCGTTTGCGCTAATTGCAATGGACTATAGCCATGGTGATCTAGGGATAATATATCCGCCCCTGCTTTTACAAGCAATGTAACCACCGATATTTGACATGCTACAGCTGCTAAGTGTAATGGAGTATTGCCTAAGTAATCGTGCTGATTGGGATCTGCACCATATTCTAGTAATAACTTAGCCATTTCTGTGTAACCCCTGTAAAAAAAGAAAAATCCGTATCCGGTACACGTTTATATTTACATATACAAAATTTTAATGGGAGATTCTAGGGACCAAAATAAGACGAAAATCAAGAATACCAATTTGTTGATCGAGGCCTCGTTAAAAAGTTATTAACGTTTAAAGTTCCGTATGTAGAACGGCAATCTGCGAATAGCTGCGCGCGCATGATAGTGATTCTCATTCAGCATGAGAAACTCTACTTACTGACGTATAGAGAGTCTTACAGTTTTGTGAGTGAGAACCGCTATCATGCGCGCGCAGCTGTTCGCAGATTTGCCGTTCTACAGACGGAACTTTAAACGTTAATAACTTTTTAACGAAGCCTCGATCAACAAATTGGTATTCTTGATTTTCGTCTTATTTTAGCCCCAGGAGTCTCCCATTAAAATTTCCCCCAAGGATGGCCCAACACCCTGCATATATTACATAAAATACAAATTTAATCAAAAGAGAGAAATTTCATTTCGTTAAAATTTTGTCAAATTCACCTGCAGGAAACAAAGTGTAGAGCAGTTCGTCCTTTTTCATCGTGATTGTTAGGTGACACACCGCTACATAAAAGCCTTTTCATCATACTAGTATTATTTGTGGCTGCTGCGAGTCGCATTTTATGCTCTAGAAAAGGATCTCTGATATTACTACAAGTGACATAGTGACGACTTCTGATCGATGCGCAAAATGATTTCATTTTTCTGTGGTACATAGATCCTTGAAAAAAACATAAATCGTTAGAAAATTTAAATAATAACTGGTGCAACATTATATAATTTAATTGCTTACTGTCTTTTAACACTTCCTTAGATATGGATAGTCTATCGACATTGTACGTGCGAGGAAATCCAAACTCTAAAACCTACGACAAATAGAATTTCATAATATATTTCTTGTACGAATAAAATCAGTAAAATACGATAAATGTTATTAGAAAGTGAAATACCTGGTCCGATGAGAATATAAATAAAAAACAGATATTTACCTTGGAACATACAACAACCGGTCCCGCAATGCACAATGATGAAATCGGTGAGTGCAAACCAATCGGCACGAATTCAATATGGAAAGTACCCGGTTCGTTTTCGTGTACTTCTTTCTCGCTGCTGTTCGTAGTCGCAACAGTCGAACTGACATTGCCAGTTTGGTTCGACGATAGATTTTCATATGGAACGATCGAACTATCGTTTGAATCGTTACCCGTTTCAACGCCGGAGTCCACGGACGTCATTTTAAATTCAAACGATCGACAACGTTTTAGAAATACACAACGTTCCACCTTCTAAATTCGACATGCACTACGTGCATACATACCACGACAGTCCGTACGAAAATAATAATAGATTTGAAGTTGGTCGCTGACCAGAGAATAACGAAGTTTCTTGAACTTTCTACCAGAGGGATAAAAAGTGTAACTGATCCGTGTAATGCCAACGCTTCAGCAACTAAATGTTCCTGTATCTGTAACGCAAACGCTACACTACGCGGATTATACCTCGTTCGATGATAAACAATTATTTAACCCTATAACGAGCTAATCAATTTACGAAATGAGACAAAAGCAATGCCACAAAGTTGAGTAATGAAAAGCTGATTTCATTGCTCAAGTGTTACGTCCACTGGAAGTATCGTCCTTCCATGAGAAGAAGGCACAAGCGTGTGTACATCCCCACTCCTGTTGCAGTCTGCTGACTCACAGGTATTGGTCGAAAACAGTGACGAGATCGGTGACAGCCAATCAGCGGACAGCAACAAGAGTGGGGATGTAAACACGCTGTGCCTTCGTCTCGTGGAAGGACGATAGAATGTATAATACGCATATCTATGTCGTGATGTGTATTTTGTGATTGTAGTATTTACAAGAGACGATATTATAAATGTACTATTCGATTACTTTAAATATTGATTAAATATTTCAATCAAATGAAATGTCGTTAACTAGGATACTGATGATGTTGCGTCCTTCTCGTTGTACAAGTTAGTGAATAAAAAATCATTGAATTCATACCCGTTTTGCAATATTTTGAATCAGAAATGTAGAGTATTTTCATTTGTTTATAATACGAGACGTATTTAGATTTGAAATACATGAATAAAAGAGTAAAAAAAAAACAGTACAATTAAAATTCTTATTTGCAGATTTGGTTAGTACGGTTGGTGAATTCCATACATCTTCTGTAACATATTTAAATCAGGTTTGGAGGAAAAAGTAAGATTACACTTTATGAAAATGGACAATTTTATATGTATACAAAAATTTAATGTGATGAAATGATTGTAGGAAGGGATTAATGACCAATCCTAATGTTCGTGGTCCACTGACTGATTTGCCAGATTATTCGTTCAAAGATAATAGGCCTGTTCCATATGGCTCGAACCAATTAATGCGTATTAAAAGGCACCAAGAATTTGCGGTACATTTTCCAATTAAAAAAATCATCTTTCGTTTTAAAAAGATCATAGTAACATTAACAAATTACCTTATTTGCAGAGAAGAGTCACGCAACTAGTTGGTGAAATTGATCATGCGGTAGAAAAACATGCTAGATTAGAGAGAGAGGAAAATGAAAGGAAACAAAAGATTCTAGAAAGTAAATTGAAGCAAAAAGGACAATTATCAATAGATAGTGAATAATGTTTTTTAATCAATATGGTATATCTGTATTTACGTGTAAATAATAAAATGTATTGAATAACAATGCTATGTTACTTATTACTCTTCTGAAATTGATTTGCTGCTTCTAATATTCGTATGATAAAAAAAAGGTGATACTTTTAAAATGCTTAATTAGTTTACATATTTAATCATTATATCGTTTTATTTAAGCTGGTGATCGATAGGATAGTTTAGCAGACGCGGGAAGTTATCTTTTTCTATTTCTGGAATATGATCCAATCTAGCTGGAACAGGTCGTAAATGTTTTATTTGGTTAGTAACGTTTTCTAACATGTCTTCGGGTATATTTTCGTCAGGAAAAATGTGCAATCTTTGCATGGTATGACGCCGTTGTAAATTTCCATCCATCGACGAATAAACTGCTTTCTTCACGATCTATGCATGAACATAAATATATTAATTGTATTGTTATTACAAGAAACTTAGAAGTATCATTTACCATTGTTGGATCTTTGCTATGTAATTCCCAGGCAAGCGTCCAACTTGCACCTCCGTGGTAACCAGTATGATGAAAATATACACGTCTTTGCCATTCGTCCCCTGCTAATGCAATTTCTTTGCTATTTATTACTACAACATGGTCGCCGCAATCATCTATACAAAAATAACTAAATTAAGTATAATCATATTAACGATACAAATGTATTATAATGTTTATAAAATACACTTTAACTTAAGGTATATTAATAATGATGCATTTTAATCTACAAATACTTAAACTTTTATATATTAGTTACTCGTAACTATTATAAGGATAGTATTTTTAAATATAAGTAAATGCAATGGTAATTATACATTTATATAATTAATTACACTTACTTTGCGGATGATATATGGGTTTATATAAACCCATGAGGTAATACTTTATCAAAGGTGCACTTTTATACGGATCTTGCCATTTTGCATCATAAATATGCCACATACGTGTAAATGTAGCCCATTGCTAAAAATAAAATACGCAATTAAGAATATTAATGAAATATACAGGATTTTTCGAAATGTTCAATATATCGTTTAAAAAGTAATTTAATAAATCAATATAAATATTACTTGTAAATATAAGATTTACAGTATAAGTAAGGGAAATGTGTTTCATATATACTTTGTAATCATGTTCAAACAAGAGTTACTGAAAAAGATAGATCCATGAACTCGATAAAATACGTGTGTAGTAAATAAAGAGGACCATTGGTACGGAATAAATACAAACTGCAATATATCACGATAACAAATGATTTAAAATTACATAATCGATCAAACCTGTGCTCTACGAAGAAGAGACATAACGACCTATATTAAAACATTAATTTCAATACGAAAGTAACAATGCAAAAGATTTTAAATAATGCTAGCGAATATATTTTTAAGGTTAAGTTCGGAAGTTGTATATGGTTAGGCAATCATTGATATCAGTGTACTAGCTGGCCACTGGGTGCACGTGCACGTGAGCTCGTAGAGTTTCGGGGAGTCATTTATGTATATGTTAATAAAAACTCAAAATCATAGTAACTATTTCCCATGCTTTTTATTTACATTCTCCTCTACCCTTCCCATTAATTCCTTAATTTTTATAAATTCGGACGTTCTATAATCTCTTATAACTGCTCCAAATATTATTCGAATCTAATTAAATTCTATAAATATTTCTCTATACATTATTTCATGTAATTAATTAGTTATAAAACGATTACTGGAAGAGATACTCATTCCAATATTGCGCTAAAAAGTGCCGAAAAATAGTGTCGCCATCTAATATCAGGGATTCGAACTGCTAAAATCCGTGCCAGGATCACAGAATGTTGTAGGAGGTATCCGGAGTACAGGTTCCCCCTGATATTACTTTTGATACGCAGTACCTTGATTATTCGCTAATAACTCCATTTCTGGGATTAAAATATGAACTTTTAGAATTCAAGAATATAGTATAGACTATTGGCAACATTCAAGGATACTTTTTATAACCATTCCGCCCGTAATTAAAACATTAACGAATATCTGAAGTCGGAAAACATTTACGACTGTGTTTTATATACTCTCCGTTTGCTTTAATCGATTATCAACTTTTCAGCAATAACACGCATATTTTTGCTATTAGAGAATCTAAGTAGACATCTCCTGGTAACATTCAAGGATCAATTTTGTAACGATCCTCGCTCTAATTAATTAATTTAGTTATTAGCGATAATAGATCTCTAAGGTGTCGCGTTAAGAGATTATTGGGAAGTCGATCGAAGATTGTATACATATATACCAACCGAGGGGTCGATCGAGCGCTTGTGAGAGCGCGACCCCTCTGGTGGCGAGCATGGGAGGCAACGCCACAAGCAATTAATAAAATTTTATATGAAATGTATAAACTACTATAGTCCCTTGCTAATGTTGACTACTTTGTCCAATTTTTATTTGAATACATAGTGCACAAATGAAATGAAACTGTTATTTTGTTCTTATATTTTAAAAATTATACGATATATTTCTATGTAATTTTATAGAGATAACATTGGATGATCATGGTGCAATATATTTAAAAAAAAAATGCTGAATATGTTACGTATTCTTAAAATTGCTGAATAGTTAAATTTTATAATGTAATATAATTTTCGAACATGTTAAATTCGTTTGTTAACGCTGATCGTATGTGAGGTGCAAAGTGTCAGTTGTCTAAAATAAAATAAAAAAAGTTATATCCGTAATAACAATTTAAATATTTTAAGATTCTTGTATCATCATACTTCTGCAGGTATACAATTAATATAATAGACATCAAAGACTCTGCAATTTGTAACAAAGTTAAATACGTTAAAATCTGGTTATACAGGTGTACTTAAAAAGAGCGCTAAAAAAAAATTACAGGGTAATTTACAATTTAATAAGTATTTTAATGCAATAATATAATAATAATAATTATTATTATAATTAATAATATCAACTAATAATGTTATTAAATATTTTATACATGTACATAGTAATGTATTTATAATAATTCGTATTTTATCATTAAGGAATTATTAGTGTTTAAAAGTAGCAAAGATTTTATGTAAACAGGTAAGTCTTTTTTGCACTATCAGTCCTTTGTTACAAAGAGTAGTAGATTTCTTTATTCCAACTGTGTGTTTAAAGTGGAGATTTAACAAAACAGCATTGGCATTAATTAAACAGCAATAGAATATTTCTTACATTATATTGTTTGTATGTACGATTATAAATATTTGTATTCTTGCAAATATTACTTGTGAGAGTATCTTATATTGGCTATTGGTTTTCTTATCTATGAATATTGATAATTTTTAAGTTACCAGGCATGTTCAGGATTCGATAATATAGAAATTTTTGTTTCATTTACTTCTGTTTCTATTTATATATTCCATTATAATCGAAAAAAGGAACTTTATTGTTCATGTAGGCAAGTATAGCACCAAGAGGCAAATATTTCTCAGAGCAAATGCCGTTTGTAAAAAATATACAACAGATTGTAGGATGAAAATAAATTTATTTCTTTACGCAGTTTAATTTATAAACTTCGTTTGAATATTTTTTATTCCGGTTTCCTTTCAACTTTATATAGCATTAAAAATATTGTTACTGACTATACCTGCGAAACTTAGATTTGACCAATGTGATGTATATTCATATTTTTGTTTTTGCAATCAATCAAATTTTATAAATTGAATAAAGAAATAACGAACGGACCAATACAAATATTAACTAATACGGTATATTAAGTAGTGCAAAATATTAATGCAATGTATCGATTATACAAGTTTCAAATTATTTATCTGTATTCATACTTTAAAAACTAACCACGTTTTTGTAATAAAAACGATTCAATTTGTAGATTATAAATCCTCATCTTTTTAAATCAATTTTCATATAATTGATCACCGATTCGAGTTGTTTTATATCGATTGTAATTTCCGAGTTAATAATAGTATTTAACGAAGATGATAGAAATAATGTTTACAAACAGTATTTAATTTAACAATAATAAGAAAGAACAACTTAAATAAGATGGACTACTAGAATTGATTCTTATATTTCTTATTCTTCCATTTTATGTCAGTTCTGTTTAACGTAAACTTATAATAATGAACAAAGAACGTAAGAAGTATATTATACTAGATTCCAAAATACAAAAGGCTGTTACTAAGATTTTCTTTCTTTTTTTTAAATTATATTAAATAATTTGGAAACCAAATCGACATTTGCCGCCTCTGGATTTAATATCCTGAACATTTGGTTACTGGATTGACGAAAGTATACGTGACAAACGCACTAAAAGCGCATTACGTAATAATACTGCGTTGAAAATTGTTACTTTGCAGTATTTACGCGCAAAGCATATTTTTACAAAAAAAAAAAGAAAAAAAAAAGTAAAGCTTAAACTTTATATAGTATTAATATAACGTGCTTTGCATTTTTTTTTTTTTTACAACTGTTGAGTGTCGACACATTTCGCGGTTATGTTCTCTGTATAAATGCAATTTATGTTTCACAATTGTCGAACCATTCTACTGACAACACAGTTGGTTCCGAATACACGATGTACCGTGGTAAATCACAAAATGTATATTTCTTTAGATGAACAACTAAATCGTTCTAAACGCGTTATGACGTATTATTCGTGTAAATGTTTTTTTTGTATAAAATGAGCTAACAATTAAATGTTCCGAAGTAACTTGTAGAGCATTGACCATATTTTCCTGAAAACATCTCAAGGAAAAAATGTAGGCATACAAATTGATGTTATGTATAAAATAATATGTTATAGAAATCGATGTCGTTCGAGACACGGTGTAACAACTTCTATACAATAGGTATCGTTAGAGCAGTATAGCAGTATAAATTCTAAAACGATGCGTAACGAGGAAAACTCTCTTTAGGCAGTGAGAAGGTCCTCGCTCAAGTTGCTAATGTAGAGGGACAGAGTCTTCGATGGATTTAGCAATCTATTTGGGGATTCCTTTCAACTCTCCAAAGAAGACACCTCTCGCCTATCACTTCAGAACATCTGCATTGCTATACTATTCTTTATCTAAAATTTATGTATAATTTTTAGTTATTGACGTGATATGACGGCACGAAACGTTACGTCAGGTAAATCCAGTTACATAAAATCTTTGGCAAAGGCATGATTAATCATTGACCCATGATTCTGTAAATATATATATAATATTATTGTATTCCATAAACAGCTACTCGCCATTTGTCGTGTATTTTTTTTTTTTGTTTGTTTTTTTTTTGTTTTTTTTTTTTACATAATTTTGATTCTTCCAGTATGAGCATTCGGAAACGATCTTGCTCGTGAAATGCACCAGGTCGACATTTAATATAACACATTAGTGTCGTGTCAACCGACACTGTCCCCCATTACTTCCGTTTCTGTCTCGTGTTTTGTGTGTTCTGATTCTTCGTGCATTTCGGATTCACCGTGTGCATCTAAAAATTCCTGTCACCATAAAAACAAAATTAAATCTATAACGTGAAATACAGAAAAAAGGTAAAAATATGTTCATCGACGAAAAGTGATTATAATTAAACTGTCGGCGACAGAAGAAAGCTCAAAAATTAGAAACCACAGATTAAACCAATAGCATATTAATTAAATAGGATTTCTTACATCTCGAGTGGGATCGTCAATACTGCTTTCCTTATTTAAAGTGTCATCTGCGAACGAAAAAGAAGTTAGTACTATTTTCGTTCACGGAATAATGTACAAAGTATGCAACGAATATTATCAACCTACGTTCTGAAAAATTGAAAAAATGGTGAACTAACCGGGTTCCGTTTGCGTTTCGCTTGACGTGCATGTTTCAGAAAATTCACGACGTTGTATATCTGCATCAAGGGCGTGGAGACGTTCTCTGCTCCTACGTAATTCTTTTCTTAACCTTTCCCGCTCCTCTTCTCTCTCTTTTATAATTTCCTATCGTTCGATAAGATAATTTTTGGTAAAACTTGGTAAAAATTGACCATTGATTGTACAATTATAAGAGATTAATTAAACAAACAACGGAAACGATTTAAGTTTAATAAAAATGTTTAAACCAGAAATATACATTATCTTTAATTTAAATAATTTTAATTAAAAATCATCCTTTACTGAAGCGATACCTTCTGCAGGTAGATAAAGAGACAACGGTGCAAAAAAATATATTTTTTTGGCAAAGAATCCTCACCAGTAATTGTGATAATTGAGATGTTAGAGAGTGACACACTGGCTGCAGGTTTGCGACCGGCACCGTTGGTTGTTGAGGATGAGGATGTATTCGCGGCGATGGACAACCGGTCGCCTCGCAGCTTGGTGTCGTTGTTAACGCCGATGTTCCACGCGATGCAAGAACAGTTTCCGTTTCGCTTACATTTAACGCGGAATTTAGCATTCCGACTAATTGATTCGCTG